CGTCCTTTCGCCACGTCGGCAAGATGCAGAACATTCTGATCGCTATGGCGCCAATTATTGATGATGAGATCAGCGACCATACTGCCAGCAGCCACGTCAAGTTCCTGGACGTCATTCTTTCCTACTATGGCCGGAGCAAAGCCAGTATCGCTTACATTGTCGGAGATATTTGCTCCGTGAACGGTGCTGTCGCTGATCAGCTGCAGGTTCCGATGGTGGGCTGCGCCAGCCATCGTCTGAACCTGGCGGTGAACTTACTTCTCGCTGGCGACGACAAGCTACTCGATAAGATACAGAAGTTGATGTACAAGGTGAAAAATTTGCTGCTGGTGTCTGCAAAATTACGGCGAGTTTAATCTATGATTATGTTTGTTCTCAAATGTAATGTGCTTTTTTTGTGCTAGTTGAAAAACGCTCCTTCGACCTGTTCCTAGACAGGACACTCGCTGGTCATCTACTTTTGCTATGGTTAACAGATACTTCGAGCTGAAGGAGTTTCTTAGTGACGACGACGAGGACGAGCTGACTGGGTTTCTGCCAACCCGGCGAGAGGAGATGCAGCTGAAGTCGATCCTCGCCAACCTCAAGATGTTCGAGTCAACCTCGAAGAAGCTGCAAAGTGCAGACGCGGTAACACTACTCGACGTGCGCGACCTCTTGACGCGCTCATTGCACAAATGCCAGAAGTCGCCCACTACCTCGCTGCTGATGCAGCGATCGTCAAGAGCCCTGCTTTCGAACGAGCTTGTGTGAGTGTGCTGCTGGGTCGTGGAGGCGCGCTGAGTGACGACGACAAGGCTATGCTGGAGCCGCTGGCCGCGGAAGCAGCCCCACTGTCGAGCTCTTCGGAGACTACGGCGCTCGATGAAGGATTCGCCGCTGTTACGCTCGAGCGTGCGAGACGGCTTCGTCAAGCTACTTCACGCTTTAACGATCAGGTAGCTGTGATCGCTTCGACTTCGAACGTCGTCGAGAGATTCTTTAGTCAAGCGAAGGCAGTAGTTGGTATGCACCGCCAAGCCATGACTCCATTGCATCTAGAAAGTATCCTCTTCCTGAAGGTGAACCGCTCGTACTGGAGCGCAGCAACAGTGCGCAAGGTCGTCCGTGGCACGCAATAAGCTCACAATATTCATACAACACACAAACGTCTATGCATTGCTTGCAATACGTCCAATTATTGCAGTCAACTCTGGAAGGAAGACATGCAAAGTTATTTGTATTGCTGCATTCACGAACCAAATAACAATAGCATTTTCGGAACCCCTGGTTATGCCCAAAGGCAGTTTTGACATTGCTATTACGTCCTCTGGAGCTGTGAAGGACGCCAGATCAGCCACACCCCGGATAGAAGAAATATTTGCTCATGCCCAAAACGCTCGTGCTACACAGTACTACTGCTACAGTGAGCAGGAAACTTTTGGTCCTTTATTTTGTCCTACATTTGGGCTAAGTGGGGTTAAGCTATCGCTAGGACGACTCCGGTGGTACATTTGAAGATGTGATCGGACAGACATCGGCTTCGCACGTTGTTCGGATTTCGCTTGCCTTTGGAGCTGAAATGTCAGTTTCTACTGGCTTTTCAAACGCGTAGGCTGTCCCCAGTAACACGCTTTTGTCAGGGTTTAGTATTAAAGCTGTTGTCTTCTTCCGTGGTGCTTCTACAATTACTGGGATGACACTTTCATTGCTAACCGAGTCGACGGAACTATTTTCTTGTGCGGTAGTGGTTTCAATACCTTCAGCAGTCACCTCAAACTCTAGATTTTCCAACTCACTAAAGCGAAATTGTTGACACCGACAGATGTAGCCCAGTACAGAGTACAAAAGGAAGACAAGGACCTCATGGCCTTGCACAGAGATCCACTCCCAAACGCGCCAGCGATTGTCCGAGCCAGTAAGTGCAGTGATCGTGGCGATGAAAACAAACCCCTTCTGAAGTCGTCGATAATTAAGAAACAGTGTCCCTTTCCACATGACAAGCGACGTGTCAATACCGAGCTGCTCTCCAATTCTGTATCTCAGTCGTAACATCTTCAAGTTAGCTGCTGAATAGTGGTGGATCAAGAACATGATCGACAACCAAGAGATGCCCCAAATGATCGCAATGCCAATATTGTCGACTTCTAGCTGCTTTAGAATAACAAAAGCAAGTGCCCACTCCACCGAAACAGAACGAATCCGAAAGATATCGATCCTCTCCACACTTTCCCGAGTGATACCCCAGCCAGCTGCAATAAACAAAGCGACTTCTGCTGTCACTGCAAGCGCCACAACTTGAGTTAGCAACGCTGAAATCGCCACCATATTGAAATTCGGACTTGTGAATTGACCAGCGGTGTACTGAGCTGCAACAGAGAGCCCAGTATAGATCACTTGGGTTATCGGTACCGTCAGTAACTTGTACTGCAGGGCTACAGCACATCCGGTTGAAGCGAAATACATGTGGTACATCCAGACGCAGCCCCATACACCCCACAACGCAGTACTTGCAGCATAAAAAGCCATTAGAGTTACGTCTTTTTCCAGCATGCACCCGCCGTCTTTCTTACATAACTCCAAGCCTATGGTGCCTTTTACAGGTCCTCTAATGGGAGGAGGGATGATGCATTCCTTGGACCAACGCTCATCGTCAGCTTTTGACCAGTAAGGGTAGTTTTTCGGGCAGTAGTAGCATGTGGAGTAATGGCCGTTCGCTAATGGCGGGGGGTACTCGAGACACGATCGGAGAATAACTTCTTGTCCGTCTAAAAGCTCGCAAGCATCGATGTAGAAAGTGAGTTCAGTTGTAGCACTGCCCGTGAGTCTTGTAAAATCTGATTGAGACGAAGCATTGCTCGATCCGGTGACTGTTTTCGTGGATTTGTATACGAGTTTATCATGGGACTCGTTCTCCAACGGGAAAGACTGACAATAGTAGTCAAGTGTGCGGTTCGCTATGGCACAGTAAGAAGGTGCGGACGTGTCGTTATTGCTGGTATTGGAGTCCGACGGGAGATTGAGAAAACTCTTCGCTGATTCGTCACAAACCACTAAGTACAGCATGACTCGATCGTCGCCATCCTCAAGTGTGGCCATTGAAAATTTTACGTCGAACACAAGCTCGAACGTTCCGTCGTTGCCGAGATCGAATGTTGCCAGATATTCTAGCGGGGAGAAAACACTGTCAAGATCCACGAGGTGGTGGAAGTCCGATTGACCAAAGAGTGTCTTGAAAGTTGCCGAAGCAGAAACTTTGGTGGCAATGCAGCACACTAACGACAAGGACAGAGCGAACCTCAGCATTGTGGTCTCGATTTGTAGAATGAATATCGGACTGCCATCGGATATAAATACTCACCTTAATTAATTACGCTCCGCCATCACTCAGAATCTATTCTCACCCTGACGAATTGCGGTACCTACGTTTGGTGATGAAAGACCGCAGCCAAACTTCCCCGAAGACATAGAGGTAAATAAACGTGAGCAGCACTTCAACACAGGAGGTTCGCAATGTAGTTTGCAACTCTTGGCGTAAGCTTTCATTGTGCCAACATTCGCCCGCGCACCATACAACAAGCCCCACGAGTATCCCGACGGCTAGCACAAATGGTAAATCAGGATCACGAATGTTGTCAATCGGTCGACGGTGCTAATCAAAGCTCTCGATACGTAAAGCCCTCGCAACTCCACTTCAAATCATATGCAAAAGTCGCGGCAGCCCCGGCAGATCGTATTAGCTTTCGGATACCCCTCGAGTGCCAGGTCGTCTCGTCGCATTGATAATAGATCACAACGGACAGTGCCCATTATGTCACCCTTCTAATCACAGATTTCCATTCTCTATTTTTACCTGCAGTGTACTCGTAGTGTCTCGTCCTCAAAGCATTCGCAACACGCTCACCACATCGTCACGATACCCGATCGAGTTTGAATCAGCGACAATGAAGTCTAGACGATGCTCTTCCATTCGACCAAAACGCCGCGTATCCTGTAGAACCGTAGCTTTAGTTTCGTTGCTGTTAGCAAGCAGCTTGTCCGTGTCACAAGCAGACATGAATATGCCGTACATATCAACTCCATCCTTGTCGTCCAGTGACCCCGACTACTACTACCAAGTGACAGTAGAGAGCTACGCCTCGCATCTGCAATATCTGGCTGAATACGAACTCGGGGAAGACGGGACCTTCGAAATCGCATTAAGCATCTTGCTCGCAATCGCAGTGCCCGAAGCCGACGAAGGACGCGATATGCTCTACCTCCTCGTATGCGATTCAGACGCCGCAAAGGCTTTCCTCGAGTTGACATCATCCAATGATACATCGAATATCCATGTTCCGTCCTATTGTGCCATACCGAATCGCACGCTGGACTACTATTGTCAGTCCTACCCACTCGAAGACGAGTCCCCGGATGAATTTGTGTACCAGTCGCTCAAGGTCGTATCCGGATCGATGGCTGAATGGACATGGACTCCACCTCCTTACTCAGTGTTTGACCGGCAGAACGCAGATGGAGACAACAAAGGCTCGAGCTCCAGCAACGCCAACGTGATCTTCTTCATAGATTCTTGTGAGACTTTGGGTGGTCACGATGGGATCCTTCGGTCATGTTTAAATCATCCACCAGGATCCAAATCACATGGTTATGACTCACAAGATGACACAACGTGCTTTTACTGTCCAAACAACTACCCGACGTCGTACACGAGTGAGATTTCCGGAATCGCAGAGAGTGAACAGTGTAAAACGCCACCGAATTTGCCTCCAACAATCCGTGGCACGGTATCAATGAATCTCTGCAACTCACAAGGCAGCTGTCTAGGAAGATTGCCAAGCTTCCGATCCGTTTTCTATGGGTTGAGTGCACTAGTCTGGGGTATCACCTCGTTCGTTTGGATCGTGCACATCCACTCAGCAGCACGTGACACCGTGATTGAGCTCCAGACCAAGATGAAGCTCATCCCAGTTACTCAAACGCTCTATTCGATAGCGACTTTTGGAGATCTGTACACTGAGCACAAACTTGTGGGTACAGCTCGCAGCCTCGTTCAGAATATCGCCGTGCTGACACAGCTCGTAGCATTGGCGGTGTTTACCGAGGTCGTCGTATTCATTGCCAAAGGCTGGAAGATCACGCGGCCTGCATTGCTCCAACGCGAAGTCCAGTGGATCCGCTTCGTGACTTTGAGCTGGGCGGCATCATTCGCTGTCTTAAAACACGCAGGAGACAAGCAGTTGGCTGTCGTGGTAGTGTGGGGTCTCTCTTGGGCCTGTGTGGTGTTCATGATCTGGTACAACTCGGCCTTTAACCTCAACATGCTCAAGTTCCAGCTCGCAATGGTACGCCAGCTCGAACTGGACCCCCAACTCACGCCTGTGCACACCAAGTTCATGCTGTTTCGCCGCTTCCGTGCATTACTAGCAGCTTACATCTTCTGGTCCTGTTTCTTGGGCGTCGTGGGGCTCGTGAACGATGCAACGCAACATTCAACAGAATGGACCTCTCTCCTGGGGGACGAAGGCCTCAACTTCTTGCTTTTTGTATCGCTGGGCTACACTTTTCGATGTCGACGCTTTGGTCGCTTGCTTCGACCCACAAACGCCATACCACAAGCCAACGCGAATACCAACAGGTCAACTGATCAAAATGGGGTACATCGTGGGAGTATCCTACCGGAACCACCACCTCTCGAGTCAGCAGAGTCTCCGAAACGCAAGAAAACAATCGTAGTACTCAATCCAGACCAGGCGCCGTCGCTAGCGACGTCAATCGAGCCGAGTGAGCACGTCGTGAGGCCAGATACGCTGCCTAAGAGCACTATCGCGCCAGAATGAGAAATAGAATTGTTAGCACACTCAATACAATCCATTTCAGCGTCGCCGTATCGCGAATGTTGCTTCTCCACGCTGCAAGGGCCGCATCGTTGACACAGCAGCTGTCTCTGTGCTCGTAATATTTGCTGGAGGCGGCTGACAGAGAGGGAACTGCGATGTGGGTGGCAGTCCGAGCGCAGAAAACACAATCGCGTCAACCTGTCGCTCTGCAAGCAACGCTGTTGCAGGAGGCGCCGGTCTCAGCATTCGGTTGCCTTTCCTCTTGAGCGTTCGCTGCTCCGACTTCTTCACGGACGTCAACAGCCGATCCACCACGTCCTGAGGCTCCACACATCTGGGTCCTCGCTGACAGACGATCCCTCGTGGCCGCATTTTCTTCCTCGCACTGGCCTTGTCGTCCGCGCAGCCGGCTACGATCTGCTCTTTGCATTGCCGCCAGCGCCAGATAGTTCTGCGGCGTGTTTTAAACTCCTCCAGCGGCAAGTCCGGATAAAACTTCTCAATAGTCTCACGTACATTCTTGACTGTAGCCAAATGCTCCAGTACCCGCCGCTTTTCGTCCAGCGAGAAAGACGATCTCTTGCCTTTAGCAGCTTCGGTCTCCTCGTCACTGTTGTCAGAGTCACTCTTGCATTCCTCCATCTCTGCACTAGATCCTGAACCTGCTCCTGTCTCTATCTCTGCGTCTTCTGCCTCAGTGTGCTGTCCACCCAACAGCTGAGGCTGCAGCTGCATCTGAATATGTTCCTGTCTCTTTGTGGATTGCTCCACAGCAGTGGCGATGAGGTCCTGGATGCCTCCCTCCTCCTGTGTCTGCTCCTGTATGTTTTGCATATTATCCAGCAATTCTCTGTCATCCTGTGCTGCATTGTGCAGCAGTTGCGAGCTTGTGCTGCTGGGGCCAAATTCGGTCATTTCATGCTCGTTTTCGCTCAGAAAGGGCTCGTTTTGATCCTGAATCGCAGATGCAAGTCCTTGTGGTATTGGTGGCTGTGGTCGCTGCGTTTTGAGCTTGCGCATGCGTTTTCTAGCGGCCCCTTGCCGGGTCGCAGCGCCTGCCATGATCTCGCGCGCATTGCGTCTCCAGCCGAGCACCAGACGCCGCCGCGCGTCGTAACTCTCGGGTGGAAGTGTCGGATAGAAGTGCGCGATGGTGTCGCGCACGTGGCCGCTCGCTCGCAAATGCTCCAGCACTCGCCGCTTCTCGTCCAGAGAGAAGGAGCAGCGCCGCAGCGAAGGTGTTGCCATGGTCGGTCGATGCGGAATTGGTGTGTGGAGTACACCAAATAATCGTTAAAAAACCAAATTTGGTGTTCTCCACACACTTTACCAAAAAGAGTATTTTCTTTTAAAAAAAAACGTTTTTGTTAATAAACCGTTTTTTGTTTGTTTTTAATTAAACTTAAATGTGATGTTGAAGCGCGGCCAAAATGCTCAACGATCTGGTCATGAGATCCAGTAACGATGGCGAACATGCAGCTTTCATGTTGGTATTAGGACGTTTGGTACTCCGTGACTAGTGAAGTGAAGTGGTCGTGTAAACTCTTTAGGATACTAAACTGAGCGGTTCACTCGCGGTCTCGATCTGGAAAGCTCAGAAGCATGGCGGTCTCTTTTAGCTCGTCGTACGTGGGTTCTGGGTGTGGTCCATCGGTGCTTTGAAGTGGCTCTGGAATGTGGAATTGAGGCGTTCCGGGGACGGATGTCTTCTGCTCATCCAGGATACCCTGGTTGGAGTCGTGGTCCTCTTGGTTATCGACGATCGAGCTCCGTCGGCTTCGCGGCTGTTTACTATTGCGCTTGCGCTGCTCCGAGTTGCGCTGGTTCTGGTTGGCGCGCTCACGGTGCATTTGGCAAAAGTTGTGCAGCTCGCCGTTGCGCTTCTTGGCGCGCAGGTTCATGCAGCGCGTGCTTTTGTATTTGCATCGGAGTTCGTGAGGCGGGTCGATGGCCCGTGCGGCTTCGGCGGCGGCCCGTTCCGCTTCATACAGCGGGTCGTACGGTACTGCGACGCGTCCGCCAGTAGGGAGCTCCACGAGTTTGTGCCCGTCCTCGTCGAAGACCACTCGAAGGCGTTGATTTGGGTCCATCTTGTTGGGTCGAAAGCTCGTTGGACTGGAGAAAACGCGAGTGCTGGTCGATGTGGTCTCTTCTTGATTGCGAGTTGGGCGGACCGGGCGGGACCTGACGTAGGTCGAGGCGGGAGACAGGCGAGAGAAGCCTCGAGACCGCCCCGAAGACATTACAGTCGTAAGCGTAAGCAGTGGATGGTCAGTTTGAACACGGCGATGAAGCAGGTGCGATTGCAGTCACCGTAACTGAAGCCAAGCGACGAACGAGTACTAGTAACTAGCAAGCCCACACAACTTCTTCATCTTCTCGTCCAGCGTGACATTCGAACTTCTCGAGTATTTGCTTGGCTACGTATCACAAGCTTTGCTTGGTAAAAGCCACCGAGGTTCATGCGACAGCAAACTCGCCCGCAACTGGACCCGGTGCCGTGTACCACCTCTCACGCACGCGGCCAAAGGTCCGAAGAACGTCGCGAACGTCGTCGACAGCATTACGATCAATGGAGAGCAAGGAACGCAGCCTGTAGTAACCACCAGCCGCTTAGCAGAAGGCTCACTGCGCCCTGGACTCACGCAAATCACGATGAACGGAGGCCGATACACATTTGCCAATACCGTTATCAAGATCAGGACAAAATACCACGCATTCACAGCCCGGCTTTCTCTATGCCAGACCTGACTCATACGTGGAGCTGGAATACTAATTTTTGTCCAAGGCATTGGAGCATGAAGTGGCGAGCGAGTAGGAGTACAAGACACTTTAGAGCAGCTCGAATTGCATGATATTGGGGCACCAAATGCAGTCTCTACTCTACCAGGTCTAACGAATGCCCGCCAGCTGCTCCAGACGCTAATTCGTCCTCTTACGCGCCATCTTGAATGGTCTTCAACAGCAGTTCTGCTTCCCACTCGTTCAACGGTGGAGTCGGAGAGTCCTCCGACGTCCGGATCGGTTCGGGCAAGTCTGCGGCCTCCGAAGAGTTCGGGTCGTGGTCACGGCGCTGCCGCAACTTGGCGTCGAAGCGACCTTGATTGGCGTTGGCCTTGGTGCGATGATACTCGCACAGGTTGTGTAGCTCTCCGTTTCGTTTAAGACTACGAGGGTTCGTACAGCGAGATCCCTTGTACTTGCATATAGACTCGTCCACGGGACTACTGGGTGGACTAGCGGCACCCGCACGGTGATCGACTGGAACCTGAATGAACTTGCCCGTCGGGGGATGTAACATAAGGCGGTGCTCCACGTCGTCGTTGAAGTGTGGCTCGGGGGTCGACATGTTTTTGGTGATCGTAAGCGAGAAAGTGGTCGCAATGGTGTCGCGTCGTGTCTGATGAGGAGAAATCGGAAATGGTGGCGGACCATCAAGCAGGTGAGAGCCGAGATGCCGTAGAACGCGCCACGAAGCCGCCGTCTTGTTTCAGATTCACGCAACGCTCGTGTGGGGCGGTGAGTTTTTTTTTCATCAAAGCACGTAGACGGAGCTATCTGGTAGAACACAGTTTGTGCAGGTGTAGCGTTGTGCGCGGCTCATGGCCCCAGAGACGTACGCGTCTCGGTGGCGCTTCCGTTTCGAAGCGTCTAGTAGTGCTTGGACAACGATCCCACGTCTGGCAATCCACGGTCCGACCCATGTGACGAGCTTCGAGCCACAGACGAATATTGTGAGCGCTATCGATGCAAAATAATCAAGATAATCGTTTCTTTTCGAAGCTACGAGTTCTGGCTGGAAGGTTGGTACGAATCAATTGTCTATTTCGACCACCGAGACGAGACTTACCAATGCAAATCGTCCATGCACTTCAACTAGAACCGTAAACTTGATGATTCGTAGCAACAAAGCTTGAAAATGACGAAATATCGATGCGCTTTTATAGCAAAATCAAACAAAACTGTTAATCTCTCGGAAGTGATGGAGACGATCTACCTTCTGGCTGAGTCGTTGGCTAGGCTAAATGGCTGTAGAAGGGGGCTGTGTGAAGAGACGAGTGCTACTGATGGGTCAGTGCCAGCCTGGACTGACGGATGTCGCCGCCGCCAACGCGCGACGCTGCTTGGCTTCTTCACACTGCTGCAAATACTTCGGATCCTTTTCGAATGCGAACACCCGTGGGTCAACTCTCTCGACGCGAGCGCGGAGCTCCAGCCAATTGTTGCGAGCAGATTCCGCCTCCTTCGCGGCAGTTTTTGTGTCGTCAATGGCTTCGATATCCTGCTGCGGGTTCTGCACATCGACTTTGTATTCTCCGTCGCGTTCGTCGGGTTTTTCATCCTCACTCTTCTTCGGCTGTAGCTTATGTTTGTCCTTATCACCTTGGTTACCATAGTCGGCTGGCTTGGTCGTCGTCATTGTTAGAACATCGACAATACAATCAAACAGCGAGGGGCCCCTCTTATTATCTTTGCTGGTAACCGCGGATTCAAAAGAGAGAGAAGTAGTGACTGGAGTGAAACCTTGAACCGACATAGTCGATAAGAGTGGTTGAAAGGAGGCCGGTGGTTGTGGGGGATCAATGGCAAATTTGATAATGCCTCAGCCTGGGATGCCCGCTTGGAAGGTCAAGTCCATCAACTAATCTACTAGCTTGCAGCCGTTCACAGAGCACCCATGTCAAGGAAGTTCACATAGTTTGAAGACGGTATATGTCTCAAGAAATTAGTCATAATTTTTCAACTGCGATAGGAATCATGCACAGCCATACGCTTTTCAATCGAGGTCATCATTATAAATATTATTGCTTCGGGATTAACTTTGTGCATGGTACATAAGAGAAAAAGCATCCATATGGATAGTTCCTTTTCATTGCCTAAAAATATTGTCGCTTTCCATAAATCCCAGCGACTATCAATAATTGGTTTCATGGAGTCATATCACGGCGTAAAACAGTTGACAAGTTAGTGGGTGCTGTTACTAAAAACAGTTTGCCAGCAACCCAGCAAATAGTGTGTCATTCTGGAAATGACCTCCGTAGCACCGACGTTAGACCACGTGCCTGACTCGGCAATCAATGCAGCATCGCAATCCTCGGCTGAAAGACGATGGAGAGTCTTGATCACTAAACTTGTGCGTCTATGGCAGCATATGCAGCTCAGCTATTATGGTGGCAGGTACTCCATTCATCGGGTGCTTACTTTGGACGAATATTGCAGGAACGCATCATTGCCCCGCGTTCTTCTCGTATGTTTAGCAACACCACTTCCCATGGTGGCTCTCATCTTCGGACAGGAATTGGTCCCCCTTCAAGAGTTAAGTGAGGGATGGAGCGTTAGTTACGGGATGTGGATCCGGGCAGCTGTACTGGTGGGAATCGTGACTCACGCGCTATTGGTCCAAGGCATGTACCTTATCAGCGATTTCCGAGTCACCATGAGTCAAAGACTACAGCTGTACGCGATCATGCCAGCGATAGTCGTGGCTTTATCGATGATTGTAGCCGGAAATTTTGTTTTCCCCATTCCGTTCTACATTTTATTCATAACGCCTCCATTTTATCTTCTCCTGACCATCATGCTTCGAGTAGTTATTGGGTCGAGCGACTACCATCGAATGCTGAAAAACCGCGTGCAAGTGCTTCGATGTGTCCGATTCGTTTGTGCTCAGACTTCGACAGTATTCATTTTCCCAGTCTACGAAATGCTATTCAACGCGGCAGAAGGAACTCAGTACCAACTTCCCGTTATTTTACTACTTCCCGTGATTAAAGTGGCTCTGAAGAATCTCGTGCTCCATTTCGCTAAAGCTCTGGATGATATGGCGCCCGTGGAAGTTATCTTTACTGCAGACTTTTTCAATGCAATTTATGTGGCTACTAGCATCAAGAGTTCGACGTCCATCGCTGCCATCTCGGCTATCACAATTACAGATCTTTCCCAGACGTTCATAATGCTTTATGGGCTACAGCGACGCACAGCCACTATCCTCTCAAGACTCCGACAAGCCAGCGGCGGTACTACCAGTACTGACAATGTACTATCGATCATGTGTATACTCTGTTGTAACCCCGAAGTTATGCATACTAGTATTCGAAGACGATCTCGCCTACCTCATCAAGTATCCGCTACCGATAAAAGCTTGCTCGACAGTCAGGATCAAACTCGCGGAGTAGAATCTCCTAACAACTCACCAGTAATTCAGCCAGATACTAACAATTCAAGCACCCCAGACTCGTCATTAAACTGTCTACGTCGAATTTACCAACGATTGCAAGTGAATGGAATTCACCCGATCGAGAACAATGCCGAGGTGATGCCTTCCATACGCACAGCGTCACAGAGCTCTCCGATTCTTCTAGAATCGCTCCAAATTCTGTTTACTACGGAATGCCTCGTCACCACTGCCTACTTGGAAGCGTTTATGCCATTATTTTACAGCAGCTACATGGTCTTAATGGTGCATCTTCCAAATGTTTGCTATCACTTGGAAATGGCTAAAGTTACACGCGAGAACGTCGTGGCGACTGTACTACCCCTCGTTGTGTTCGGTTTGCTGCAGATTGTATCGTTCGCTCTTTTGGTAGTGGTGATTAAGCGCAATTGTAAAATGAAGCCGCTTTTCCAGCTCGCGTTTGTATTGGAGACACAGAGGTCCCTTGTACAATGCAAAATGATGTTGTGGATGGTGATTACATTATGCTTTCGAGTAACGCACTTTGGTACGTCTTGGACTTAGTAGTAGTAGTATTTTTTTCGTGGTTTTAGCTCAAAGCTAACACGTTCTACTGTCGGTTGCTGCAGGAGTTGACTTCAAGTTTGAATTTGTTCGTCTTGGAATGCCGAGATTCTGGATCCCAAAAGGGTAACACCGTCCCAGCGGATAAACACCGGCCTTTACTCTGGTTCTGTGTGAAGTTCGCTTGCAGAACAGGAATTTACGATGAAATAGTGACACTTTTGACAGGATGCACCGCCACAAACACTCAAGGCCGACAAATCTCCCAGACGGACAATCAATCACTCCATTGGCACTTGGTGGTCTCAACTTGAATCTCCTCTCATTATCAATTTATCCCCCGCGGTGGTTTTTTCTGCGCTCAGGAGAAGACGAGAATTGGTGAAGTCGAGAGCGTACAGATCCCATGACCTGCTCAACAAACCTACATCGTCACCTTTGGTTGAAAGTGGACCAATACATTAGTGCGGACTAATCCGACTTGAAGTTAAAGCTACTTGGCTTTCATCATGCTACCATCTCAACGAACCGTTGTCTTGAGCGAGGTCAGTAAAGTCGTAGAACATGGCTGGTCTCACCCAGTACGGCGCTCTGCTAGAATCTCGTCATCATTTCCCCGACGAAAACGAAGCTTTGGCGGTACCGGCGTTGGGCGTTGAAGGCACAGTCGGACCGGTGCCTCAACCGGTACATCTGTTGAGCTGGACACTCGTTTGCTGGTTGGTCTGGTTGCTTTGCTATCCGGAGTAACAACGCGAAGTAGGCATTTGACACTCCATTTCTCAAGATCGAGAAGTGCATTTTTGCACTATCCAACACGAATTGGAAATGGATGTCGTCCAATTTGACCACTTCTAGCATGACCCGATCAGGTTTTGACCACCGTGGTACAGATGCAACTTCAACACCAAGCAATAGCTATCTTTCCCCACCCTCACCAACCTCTCGACGATTTCCTTCTAGCCACTCCAGTTTTCTCGTTGTTCGCGTTCCTCATAATCGATTCGTCTCGCTCAAGCGCAGTTCATCCTCAAGTATCCACAGCACGATGAAGCTCTTGCTCACCACAGTCGCGACGGCCCTCACTCTGTTTAACGCCAACGCCGCAGATCTGTCAGACTGTGTCGCCGTTAACTTCACGGAACGCAGCACCGATTTCGCCTCGCTCAACGCTGTCCTAGACTTGGCAGTGAGCAGTAACTTGCTCTCCAGCTTTATCGAGGACCCCTTGATCATCGAAGAAGCGAACGTCGCGGCCGAATCCTTCTCTCTACTGGGTATGGACTTCAACTTCACCGCCGACATCAAGCAACTTAACATTACGGGAATCACGACTGTGGTACCTCGCCACATCAACGTGACGTCCCGCAATTCTCTTCAACTCGGTGCCGACTTCTCTGGGAACCTCCAGGTATCCGCGACCATCGAATTGGAGGTGGAACAGCTCAACCACCAATGGTATCAGATCTGCTGGACCGATATCCTGCACCCGGTGACGTGTCCTCCAGCCGTGATCGACGTGGACGTCACGTTGGGTCTTGATCTGCTCACTCTGGGACTCAATGGCACCTTCGACATGCTCGGCTGTGCCGCCGGAGTGGCCACTTCTGAGTGCACGAACGTCACGGTGAGCAACATTTTAACTTACGCGTTGACCAATAAGTTGGATCTGTTGGTCTCGCGAGTTCTCACTCGGTTCGTGGACGCTTCGATTCAAGATCTGGCAGTGGGGTTTGACTCGATTACTGCCTTGGATTTCGCCTTTAAGGGCCAGAGCGTTCTCATCACGCAACTCACTAGTGCACTGCTGGACTTTACTGCGAACGAGATCAATAAGAAGGGGACGACCTACAAGATTGTTATTGAAGTAGTCAACAAGCTGGCCGTCGCGATTCTCAACAAAGTCATCGAAGATCAACTCGAGCCGAAGTTTGAGGCCACTTGTCTCGGAACACGCTAGGAGGGTGAGAGGGTCTGGTGTAAGCACTTGTTACCACTTGAATGTTGGTACCGAAATGAACTCTTTGCTTTTTGTCTCCGTTAAATACCCCTTTAAGTTGTCGCTTTCTGTGAAACCTGGGAGAATAGCTGTCACTGTAGATGAGTTGATGACAAGTATTGCATCGATTCCTCGCTACGAGCGAGTCGCTAGATATAAGAATTGAGGAGTGATACAGAACGAGACAATCGTTACCATGCATTCCGGTGATTCATCCTGGTGTTGAAAATATGCCTGCGACTCATGCGCTTTCGTCCTCGCTTCAAAAGTAAAACGTTGTCCGGCGGCGATCATCGGTTTGTTAGATATTTTCCCCAGCATTGAAATTCTGGTTGTCGCCAACGAGGATAACCTGAACTTGCAAATATTCTCGCCATTATACTGCTTTTGAGAAAGCAACAAGTTTGTTCATGCTGTTCATGGAATTCGGCAACACGTCTACGTCGATGCTGCTCACGTATCGTTTTATTTGCAAGCAAAGCTCCCCATTTTTGCAGCAGCGTGATTTGGTTACGGTGATTCCCGACTTTAACGAAGTCTGAAACTGCACGGAAAAAGTGTCAAGCTTCGAGCAGCGAAATCGGCTCTCTGTATCAATTTAGGGCCAGTTGCTACAGGGTACCCCTTAAACCAGTAGTTAAGCGAGAAGTCATGACCAATGGTGACTATCTACAGAAGCGAAATTGCAAGGAAAGCAAATGCCACCATCAATCAAAACTTACCATAATCACAACTTGTAACTTACTAAATTGTAAGCCATTTATCCGACGGCGGATTCTTAATGAAAGGCCCCAGTTTCACCGAGCCACGCGCAGCAGTCACAATCGAATTCGAAATGCCAACACGCGCTTCAACACCATAAACTCGAAACTCAACATAAACTTTATGTCTTACAATTGGAACAGTTTAAGAGCTTTCGTTTCCACTCTCTAACTGGGGTGTTACACTTCTGGAGCAGCAGCTGAAAATCTGATACTGATCTTTTTATGTGGGGATAATCGGATTCTCTTTTGTCTAATAAAATCCGGATCTGAGAATGCAGGCGGTTGAAGAGAAAATGCTCTTCAACCAACCAGACGATTGAAGAGTGTCTGATTCCACTTACAGTTGAAGAGCACAAACAGCTGCTACAAATTTGTCCGACGGCGGTCCGAATGTACCAATCTCCAAGAAGAGCACTTGTTCTTTGACTGACCTGAACCACGCCTCTGTTTGTCATTTGGCAATCGCAAGCGGAAGACCACCAGCACAGTACAGTAGATGCAGATGGAGATGGCTCCACTTGCTCTCAATGCCAAAGTGGACGCGTTATCACTGGGCGGTGATGAAAGTCTCCGCTCCGCGCAATTCTTATCTTCCGTATCTAAAACAACGGCTAATTCCACACCAACGACGCCTAATGAACCGAAACCTGTGGAGACCAAGAGAGCGAGTAAGGACAAGAAAATCTTTCGTTGTACGTTCCCCGGATGTGGCCGCGAGTTCCAACTCAAGGGTAATTTAAAGCGGCACGTGAATATTCACAACGGGGACAAGAAGTTCGCCTGCAAATTTTGCGGTAAGAAATTCCTGCGCAAAGCGGACATGGAGGTGCACTACCGTGTACACACGGGCGAGAAGCCCTACCGCTGCAAATACGAGGAGTGCGGCAAATGCTTCGCACGTCGCTCGGACTTGTTGAGCCACGAACGCACTCACACGTAAGTTTTATTTTCTTTTCTGTTTATTATTCCCTTGTTTTTTCTTACGGTAATTTATCTTGTGTAGAGGCAGAAAGCCCTTTGCGTGCGCCTTCCCTGGCTGTGACCGCAGTTTTGCGCGTAAATTCGACCTCCACAAACACCAGCGCCTTCATGAAGACCAGACCGACGCCTCTGGGAAGTCCAAGACCAAGAAACGCAAGCTTTCTCCTGCTATTACGGCGTCCGTGAATAAGAAAATCGACTCGGGAGATGAGAGCTGCGACTGTCCGAGCGACGTCACTAACCCTCTGGTTACGACCACCAGTACGGCCATGAACCCGGACGTGCTACTACCGGAACCGCCAGTTATGAAGGCCCCTCTGCCTATCACAACGACGTGTATGACCAATCGCCGTAAAATGTCCGCAACTGCTGCGTGTGTGAACACCCCCACACGACCGATACGTTACGAGTTGAAATGTCCGGAGAACCACATTCACTCGCCACCGGCATGTCTTGCGGCGCTCTCGTCGTTGGACGCGTTTTTGATGTCGCAGGAGACGCTTCCGTTCTCTCTGGACGCATTTCCTCCTCACTGCCCCTCGACAACGATCGGAACTAGTTGCTGCCCGGCGCATCTCGAGCTGAGACCTCCTCCACCTGATGATACCACGGCCACTGGAGCCAAGATATCGAGTGGATCCGACATGATCGACCATCTCTTGACGCCGAATCCAGCTGTGCTAGGTGGTATGACTACTGCTGGCGATCTTCTGACGAACTCGACGCTACCTCAATCAGTGGGGGGCAGTTCGATGGGCCAAACGTTCCCTGAACCGAGCTTGTCTTTCACTACACCGGATACCAGTGGACCGGGTAGCTTGCTGTCGAGCTCGGTTAACCCAGTTAACGGGATTGATTCCGTGAGCACAGCGCCTTCTAACGCTCAGGCTAAACCTGCTACCGAGAAGGCTTGTTTGTCAACTCCGACGTCGTCGTTGCTGGACTATTCGCGTCACAATCGCTCCTGTGGACATTTGTCCATCCAGCACGGGAACCACCGCGACTATGTGGTGCAGAACCATCTCGTGTGTCAAGACAGCGTCACAAATCTAGGTGCTCTACAGCGCGGACCCGCTAAAACTGCAGCTAAAACTGTAACTACGCAGCCTGTCAAGTGCTCGTCTCCTAGAGATACCCATCGTCCAGGCTGTGGTCACCTCCCTGTGCGTCACAAAGACCACATCGACTACGTCGTGGAGGACAATTTGATCTGCCAACAGGCCAGTTGGCTCGAGGACGACAACCTGGAGTTGCTTGGTGACGATTTCTGGGACTTCTACGGAGCTATCGACGCCTTCCCCACTAAGTAGTCAAACACAGGATAAGTCAGTGCCGCCATCCTGCTCTTAAGCTGACAAATACTGCTTTATTTGTGTCAAAGCAACTTTATCCTGATCCACACACGTTAATTTGGTCCCATAAGACGCGTAGCTTCCCCTCCCATGGCGTTATTGCCACGGTACCGAGCGACACGATAAGACGGGTTAAAGGCCCAGGATAAGGCGTTTAACAAACCTTGCGAGTAGAAGCACAGCTCCGATAGATACAGGAAGAAGCCAGACGTGACCCAATCGGCCCCAAAAGATTGCAACCAACCGAATAGCGTCGGCAGGAAGAGTGCAGCAATAGTAGCTACACAACTCGGCAGTAGCTGTCCACTACTACGGCGTGCACGTTCGGCCTGAGGCGGCAGCGACAGTCCTGTTGAGCCCGTGGACGCAAGATACACAGCTGCTCCAGCAAACGTAAGCGTCAGCGTCGCTGGCAAGTAGAACAGGAACACCCGAGCCCAACCGGGACTATGACCAACGAAGCACGCTCGACACGGACCAGCACCATCCGGTAGGAAGCCAACAACACCCGTAAGCAGCGAAAAAGCGCCCGTGAACGCAGCAGAGCACCAGATCACGACGTGGTAGAAATATTTGTACTCCACTGTACTCGAATGCGTCCACCGCACCGCACGAATCAGCTCCAAACCAACCGCAGCACTGAATAGTAGAATAGCAGTACCAAAGAACTGCTGACTGCTCTTGAGTAAAGCACAGAACAAGATGTGCGTCTGGTGAGCGCGCCACACTCCAGCAATCCACAGCGTCAAGTTGTAGCCCACAGTGCACACCGACAGCCAGAAGAAGATCGAGAACGAGCGGAAACTCCGTAGAATCGGGTATTGCACGAACGAAGAAACGATGAAACCGGAGCCGACGAGCGACAGACCCGACAGGAACAAGACCAGCACGGCGTGGGTGTCCATGTCGTACATGTTGAAGCTGTTCTCGAAGAACGGCGACTTCTGGGAAGGCAGCAGGTCGCTGTCTTTGCTGTTCACGGTCTTATCCTGTGTATCCTCCACGCCGCACAACGTCGAGTTGGCAGGGCAAGCAAAGCCCATTTGTTTCTTCTTGACGTCGTATAAAGAGTAGAATTTCTTCATAAACACGTCTCCGAGCACCCACATCTCCTGGCCGCTTGGCTGTACCAGCACGATACAGGTTAAGCCAACGCAGAGCGTGTAATCCGAGCCTTCCAGCACGTAATAATGGTTCCCTCCAACTCCAATACGAAGCGGCGGGAAGTCCTCTGGCGCACACAAGAAGCACTGGAAGCCGTACTGGACAAATCCGCAGTAACAGCCTTGGTTCTGAGCAAATGTGGCCACTTCATACAGAAAGTTCAAGTACAAAGTGCCTGGGATGCCAATGAGCGACGTCCCGGAGTCCACGAAGGCCACACAGCCATCTGCACAGGCGTTTCTGTGCTTGCCCACATTGACACTGTGCAGATGGATCCTCCAAAACGTCCATTGGCCAAATTGCGGCAACACGTCCGTCATCTGCCACGTAGCTTGAAGCGAGCCCATAAAGTTCTCGTCATAACCTCCTAAGTGCAGTTCTGAACCGTTAGTATTCGGATCCGGACTGAGGTAGAAGGCGAAGACCGAGTCTAGCTCGGGGTATTGCTCCAGTAGGGCAAAGAAGAGCGGAGGGTGCGAGAACGTTGAGAGACCGTCAAAGGCCAAGCCTAGCAGCCCGTCGGCCTTCATCCTGGCCATAGATTCCTCCTCTGTCCTGACGATCCCAACGGTTGTGTCCTGCACCTGGAACTGAGCCACATGCACCACGTCCTGACCGAAGTGACCGCTTACTTTACCGCTGCCGTACTGTACAGCGAAGGCAGGGTGTGTCGTGGACTCGTGGAACGTGCTGGATTTCGAGTGGTTGAAGCGGTACAGGCCTGCGCAGGCCTCGCACTTGTTGCCAGGCACCCACAGGTCGCTCGAGCCCGTGTCGAAGCACACCAGGATCTCCTGGGGAGGTGATCCGATGGCGATTGGACCGAAGAACTGGAACTCCATGAAGTTCTCGAGCGGCACGTGACCCTGGGCCGCCAGATCCTGCGCATTATGCAGGACGTCCAGAGTGTTGGTCGCTCCGTCCTGCAGGATGTGATTGACTTGAACTGCGTTGGTCACGGCGTCGCTGGGCTGCGTGTGGAACTGCAGCAGGTTCTGGGCGCTGCGTTGCTGCGGCTTGGCAGTCAGAGGCACGCGCAGGAGCGACGAGGCGGGCTGGAAGGACAGTGCAGCCAGCGCAACGGCGAGCAGACCGAGACGCATACTGGAGGTCTGCGCACTGCACGGCAGAATGCGGAATGGAAAATGGAAAGGAGAAGCGTATACCTGATACCTCTGGGTGATGTATAAAACGCTTTTGATTGGCTGATGAGGTGTATAGTATACGGGTACGCCTATTATCAGGTCCCACGCTGGTTGTCGCAAAAGATCGCGAAGGTCCGTATTTCGAAAACTCAGATTCACTCGTGGCCACACGTGGGGCGACAGCAAGCATTACTATTGTAGCAACCATTTGGGCTGCCCTTCGCAGATTTGTTGTCCAGGCGTGATTGCACGAGAACGAGAGAGTGTGTTTGCAAAAGTGTTGCTGTATTTTGATGAAGTTCAGGCGTGCGCAGGGATGCCTGCTATTCTGTTCACCGTCAATCTGTAAATCCATCCCGCGAATGTGTGCTTTCGCTCCAACTGATCCGCAGCGCTTCAGCAAAGCATTGAGCTTATGACGAACGATTTTAATCTTAGCTGCCGTACGCTTTAGCCTATCGTATGCTTTTTAAATCATTTATAAATGTCGTGATTTAAGGCAAGCTGCTGTCGTAAAGAAGAAAAAAAAACAGAAGCAGCAGCGGCTTGCTTTGCACCAGTACCTCTTCGAGATATTTTACAATTTAAAAGTGTATTCCTTTTAGGTTTTAAGACTAGTGCTATGTAGATTTCTGATCCAGAGTTTGAATGTTTTACTTGTTGAAACCTAATATAATTGCACTATCTGCACACTACTCAAGTTTTAACCCAACAGAATAAGTCCATTAGACATGTTCGGCATTAGAGTTCTCCTTGTCCAATGCTGTAGCTTATCGCAACGCATGAGATTTTGGCGATTGTATTCACATTACCAAAGTAGAACCGATGTAACAAGCGCTTCCAGCTAAGTATAGTTTTCGAAAAATCAAGGTTTCCATTTCAATCCAGAGGTTTGAATTTTGTTCCGGGTTCGATCTTGGCGATGGCATTTTCCAAGTTCTTGGTGGAAGTGATTGCCAGATGCTTTGTTTCTTGAAACTTGACGATAACATTATCGTTCGTTGCAGTATTGGTTCCTCCTCGAAATTTCTTGTATTCCCCATGATTTTCACATAGGCATTTCTCCACATTTCCATCACGCAACCGGATGAGGGGCATAAC